TGGCGGTAGTATTCTCCCAACTCAGACTTCTTTCATCTATTCTCCATCTTGTGTACACAATAAACTCTTCCTACTACTTTGGCCTTTACCGACTTCTCCTCTACTAAGTAACCATGGTCTGAAGATCGCAGTTGCTGCGTTTAACCCGCTTAACCCCCTGCGATAAAACTCTGGCCTTCCACGCCTTGTCCTATTTACTAGCTCATAACCGTTGGGATACTTTCTATCGTCTAGTATCTGTCTGGACTACTTCGTATCCCACAGCCTCCTGAAAAATGATGTCCTGCTACATTTTGACGTGACGTCCCTTTTTACTTCTATTCCACAGGACCTGACGATTCCTACGAGACAATTACGATGAAGCGGAGAATCGCCATGGACTCGCCCAAATCCTCTAACTTCTGAATTTCTGTCTCGAGGCGTATCTCATCTACAGCGGAACAATCTATGATAAAATGAAGGCCACGCCCATGGGTTCATCAGTTGCTGGGCTCGTAGCCCAGGCGGTCTTGCAACAGTTGGAGTCACTGAATTTCTGAATTCGGTATGTGATTGACGCTTTCGTCGTAATCGAACTGGATCAGGTACTGACGTTTAAGGAACGTCTAAACGCCATCCTCCTAGACATTCAATTTACAATGGAGGAGAAAGACAGCAACCACTGGCCCAAAGCGACCATCAGGCGCTGGGTCATGAGACCGAAAGGCCCACTGCCACGACAGGAAACGTCTGGAGTCCTTAGCCGGATCTGGTGCAGCTAAGGACAAGCCAACCACGTCGGAAAAACCGGAGGACTACTCAGTACGCGCATGGCCGAACACGCCACAGAAGTGAAGAGGAATCATGCTAGCTCTCAAATTGCAGCTCGCTCGATGTGACCCATTATATTTTCAAATTTACCGATGTCAAAATGTTCGCAAGAGGTGGTAGCCGCGTGAGGGGCGAGCTGCTCGAATCATGTTCTCAGGCTCGCAGTCCACCAACATGCGCCACGCCGTTTCCATATGCTCCACTGAGGCTTTGCCTCGACAGGGGAGTCAGTCGCGTGGGGGAAGGCACGAGTCAGCCACAAATGCGAGCCTAATTTTGGTGTAACTATCACGCCACCATCCCATATGGCTGATGGAATCACGGCAATTATTAACTCGGAGTGCCAAGCCATCGTCACATTAATCATGACCATAAGCGGCTTATTTTAGTACGCATGTAGTTGCGTGGCCACTATAGCCTTCAAATACTGCGTAATTTGCCCACTTTCTGCGATGGTATCTGGTGAGGAGTTCAAACCAGAGTCCAAAACGTCAGGCTAATAAACTTTTTGTACCAGCCATCGCATCCTCTACGCCCGAATTACCTCGACTCTAAACTGAGGCAACAATAAGCGTTTCTCTACTTTTGCCGTTTACTGTGTCATTAATGTGGAAAGCCTTTTAGTGAGATAATATTAAGGACTTTAAGGTCCAATGATCTTCAGGATTAGTGGTATGATTATGTTCTCCTCTTAAACATTTTTAAGTCCAGAATGTTCCAGTCAAGGAGATACACGCAGATATTGGGGCACTTTGACGTATAATAGCCCTTCTTCAGATCGAACCGCTACTCCTTGGAGGTAATCTCTGGTTGGAATTACAGATTGGCACACGTCATTGACTGTCATATTGCTCTGGCCAAATGGTTCAATCGAAATACATATTATGTTATTTGTTATCTACTAGCTACTATTTAATCATACAAGATGTAAATTCTTAGAAGAAACTGGTCGACATGCATAAAGGGATACGCGAGCACCTGTTAACGGTGGGTTTGGATCTAAATTCGCAAGGGGACGAAGCAACATTCAAGTCATGAGTCTGGCTTTGGAGCGAGTGAAGTCGTAGGCCATATGAGATTCACGCAGCATTACAGATAGAAGTGGTGGTTGCAAGGTGCTCATTCGGTCAACTGACAGATCCATCTAACTAAGATTAATGCGAACTCTAAAATACACGTTATGGGCTGACTCTCAGCCCGTCTAGAGATTAAACTACAATAAAACAAACTGTCAGCATACTCGGGCCCGCTCCGGTAGGCAAATGCGTCAAACGACGTAGGTCTACGGTGGCATACGGAAACAAACTCACACACGATAGTGTCATCCTTGTCAAATTCCGCATGAGTCAACCAAAGTCTTTGATGCAAAACAACGTTATCCCGGTGATATCTTTTTCCTCGATTACTATACCTAAGATTCGATATCTTACCATTATCATTAAATGTCCGATTTCAGAACATGTCACTTATATGGTTACCCGTAAAGACTTTGAAAGATCTAAAGGGGTCGTCAAGTTACTAATGACATTATCATGTCAAGTGTCTTTTGTAGCTATATTGTCTTAATTGGATCATATTTGAGAGCTCAAGATGGCGTAGGATCTTGTTTGGGTCGTGGATAGATTACTGAACGTACAAGAAAAGGCAGGCTTCGTAACGGTATCAGTCGGCGAAAAACGTATTTGTATTTCTAGTAATCCAACATGATTTTTAAAGGGCTAATTTGCTTCTGTCGGAAGGCAGCGTCGGAACATACTATTATACTATTTTTACTAGTCTGCCCTTATATCTGCGGCAAAAATAGGGAATGTTGGTGGAAATATGTGGTAGGATTTCTGAGCCCAGGTAACTTATGAAGAAACCTTATATAAACATATCGTATGTTTTTAAAGTTTTCGCAGTTACTTGGCTTGCTAAATATGAACCCAACTGTATCTAGGGTATCTAACTGTTACAAAGACTGAGGAAAAAATTTGACAGAAAGTGTGGTGACTCCACATAGGCGAGCATGTCCGAAGGCCCACTGCTACTAACGCGTACGTCCGCACTGAAGGTGGCCTCTGCAACTGCCAATTACAGATCCGCAATGGCTGGTCTCTCCCGCCGGCGAATAGGACGCAGGCACTCCTAGGTCGATGCA